CCAGACTTGGAGCCAGAGAAGCGATCAGGGATCCCTGAGGGTCGTTTATTGACCTCATAAATCAAGAGTTTGGGGGCCGTGCCTGGGAACTGTTGGTACCAGCTGACATAGTTATAACCCCCGATGTCACTACTGGTTCCAGCACAGGAGATGGTGACTGTCTGTCCCAGATTCCCGGACACTGAGGGAGGCTGAGTCAGGCCAGACTGGGCCCAGGACCCTGGAGAGAGGAGAAACACATTCTGGTCAGTTCAGTGCTGGGGCCCAGGTCACCCTGAGGACAAAGACGCAAAGGATCAGCCAGATGTCCCTGGGGTCCCTTCCCTGGAGGCCTCACCTGTGTCCTGGGTGAGGAGGGTGACAAGGAGCAGAGCCCAGGCCATGGTGGAGACGCCCCAGATGCTGCCTTCTGAGCCCCCAGCCCTCGGCCTGCTCCCCTAGACCTCTCTTATCCCCTCCCCCCAGAGGAGGGAGGGGCTTCCATGCAAATCTGCTTCCTGCACCTGCCTGTCCTCATCCCTTCTTCTCACCCCCTCTGACATGGTTTGTTCTAGATTCTTCTACATCCCTGGACAGCAGACAATACTGGAGAATTAACTCCTTCACATGGTTTGTAAGGACGGAACGAGTCCATGACAGGATGTGAGAAAGGAATCCAGCCGGGATTTCCTGTCTCTCCTGGTGTGAGAGTCATCATGGCTCCTGGGGGAGGAATCCCAGAAGGTCCCCTCTGTGCTCTTGGGACAAAGGAGAGGCCATGAGCCCAGGCGGCTGAAAGATCCAACTGCCCCGCTTTCCAGGAGTCAGAGGCAGAGCTGGGGACCAGTAACCCCTCAACTCCCTCTTTTTTAAAAACATTTTATTGAAGGGACTTCCATGGCCGTCCAGTGGTTAACACTCTGTGCTTCCACTGCAGGGGGTGCAGGTTTGATCCCTGGTCGGGGAGCTCCAATCCTGCATGCCGCATAGTGCTGTGAAAAATGAAAAAAGGAAAAATGAAAGAAAAGAACAAAGACACTGAACATTTTTATTGAAGTGTGCTTGATTGACAATGCTGTGTGCATTCCTGCTGTTCGATGAAGTGGTTCAGTTATACTCTATATACATTGTCTCATATTCTTCTCCATTATGGGTTATCAGAGGATATTGAATACAGGCCCCTGTGCTATACCATAGGGCCTGGACGCTTATGCATCTTATATATAATAGTTTGCATCTGCTGGTCCCAAGCTCCCAATCCATCCCTCCCCCACCCCTCAACCCCTTCTTATCCCCCTCAGTTTGGAGGGTCCTCACATTCCCCTCCAGCCTCTGTCTCTGCAGTGCTCTGAGTCTGAGGCCCGAGCCTGAGCCCTGGGCCATTTATTAGCACTTTTTAAGATGATTTGTTGGGGTACAAATGCTTTGGGACATAAGAAGTGTTCCGTGGGGAGCCCCTCTTGAAACTTCATGCAGGACAGTGTAACCCTCAAGTACCTTCCCGAAATCCTGGCCCTTGCTGCCCCCTGGTGGCTGCAGACGGTGCCAAGCAAGCCCCTGGGAGGTAGCTGAGTGGGGGCTGGAAATCCCTCTTGCATCGCCCTCCCCTCCTCCCTCCTTCCCCATCAAGCTCAGCACCAGGCCCCCGATCCCTTCCATCCCCTCTAACCTCATTTCCCTTTGTCCATTAACTCCCTCCACGATGGGATGTGTCACCTGCCGCACCAGGTGGCCTGGACCCTCACCCCAGGACTATATAGCCCACCCACCACAGCCTTGGTATCAGGTTATGCCTGTGAGGCAGCTCTTCATACCAAGTGACAGACATTTCAGGAGCCCAAGAGAGGTGACTCTATGGCCAATGGTGGGGAAAGCTAAAGGCTTGCCTTGGGGATTGAGGGAAAAGGAGAAAGATGTTTGGGCAAAGCAATCATTTTTGACTCATGACTATTGATTAAGTGTGTTTTGAACATGTTTTGCTTTTTTATTTTACACACTGGTTAAAATAATAATGTCTGTTATTAAAGATAAGACTAAGTCCCACAGTCTGCAAGTTGCAGACTCAGGAAAGTTGTTGGTGTGATTCAGACCAAGTCCTAAGACCTGATACCGAAGTTGCTGAGGACGGAGGAAAATGAGATGAGATGTCCCCGCTCAGCAGCGAGACAGGAAAGGGGCAAACTCCTCCTTCCTCTGCTCGTGTTCTATCCAGACCCTCAAAGGACTGGATGCTTCTCAGTTCCTCCTTTGCACCAAGTCCTGAGGCTTGGCATGCAGGGGAGTGGTTAGATGCCCTGGCCCAGCCAGGAAGGGGCAGGGGGGAGGATGTCTTCTTCCCAAGAAGTTGTTCTGAAGCTGGTTCTGAGGGACACGGAGCACCTGGCCTTCTGATGTGTTCCCCTCCCCCCACACCTGATCTCCCCCTTCCAACACACACACACCTGGGGAGGGGCTTCCTGCCCTCTGCATCTGCAAGGCCCTTGACTTCAGGAGGCCTGAGTTTGAGTCTGGGATGGAAGGATGCTGCCCTCTACCTGAAGGCTCCTGCCTTTCCCTCTGAGCTCATTCATAGCTACCCCAAAAGGATTTTCTTTCTTTTTTTTTCTTGATGTGGACCATTTTTAAAGTCTTTATTGAATTTGTTACAATATTGCTTCTGTTTTATGTTTTGGTTTTTTGGCCATGAGGCATGTGGGATCTTAGCTCCCCAACCAGGGATCAGACCCACACCCCCTGCATTGGAAGGCAAAGTCTTTACCACTGTACCGCCAGGAGAGTCCCCCAAAAGGATTTTCAAAAGTGGTGGTTCCCCCAAATCAGGACATACGGCATTAGGAATGCAGACCATCCATCCTGGATTCTCTCCAAGACCTTCCTTGTCAGCTTAATCTTGCAGCCGCCTGGCGGACTAGGGGCTGTGTGGGGTGACTGAATTTCTTCATATCTCCAAAATAAATCACTGGTCAAGGAAAACATTTATGATGGAAAAGTTTACTCCCAAATATAGAAAAGTTGGGAATTCCCTGGCGGTCTAATGGTTAGAACTCCATGCTTCCACTGCAGGGGGCGTGGTTCGATCCCTGGGTGGTGGGGAACTAAGATCCCACGTGCCGTGTGGCAAGGCCAAAAAACAAAACAAAACCACAAAAAACAAGCAAAAACACCCCCCAAAATATAGAAAATTATTTTACCATGGCCAGCGTTATCATTTTAGTGACCATCTTCTGGACATCTTGACATGCTTAAGTACAATGTTCAGGAAAAAGCATTACATGTATTCCAGGAGGTGGGGGCCGGCCCCTGTAAGTTTCACTGCTTCTTCTACTCCAGGCCTAGTCTAGCCCCAGGAACATGGTAAACATTGTGAGCATTGCTTGAAGCAATGAAATGAATCAATGTTACTTTCATGTTTACTTGTACATGAATAGGACTATATCATACAATATAAGCAATGCTGTGACCTTTGCTTTCAAATATGTCCGACGTCATCTTTTCAGTGTGTCAACCTGAAATCAGGCCTTAAATCAGCCATCGAATCATGAAAATAACGTTCGGCAATCTTCAAAGGCATCCCCTTTCCATTTCAAGTCCCACAGATGCATCCTTTGCCCTCTGAGAGAATTAGTTACAACCTGCCACTTTAAAACAATGGTCTTCTTGTTTTGGTTTTGTTTTGGCTTTTTTCTGGTTCCATCCTAAAACTTATGAGCACTATCTCCTTGAGTGTTGCATCAGCAGCCTCTCAAGGACAAATGTTTGTTGAATGAGTCTGGACAAGAGGAAGGAGGGGGAGGCTGAGTCTCCAGTTCCAAAGTGAAAAAACTGAGGTTTTACCAGCCCTGTTCCAGGTAACAATCCCAGGTCCAGGAGGATCAACACAATTCCCTCATTCGTATGTACCTATGTATTCATTCATCCATCCATCCAACCATGGGTGTAGCTGCACACCTTAAGCTCTGTTAGCTCACAGGCACGGGGGATGTGTGGGGGAATGGCAGGGTTGAGCCACGAAAGATAGCCATCACTACTGCCCTGCCTGTTATTCTTGGCCACCACTACCTTCTGGTGGCCTGTGGTTAAAGATTTAGGGTCACCTGGATGACAAGGACACAGCCTCACACTTACTGGGCTTGAGTGAGGAAGCTGAATTCAAAGGACCCAAAGGAGGTCCCCCAGGCCAGCGTTAGTGACAGGGCTGGAGTTCCGCTTTGCTCTTAACCCCTCCAGGCAAGAATCCTCACCCACCTGGCTCTCACCATCTCTCCAGAAGCCCGACTTTCTCCCTTAGGGGGGCTGGGAGGAAGGAGGTGCCAAAACCATCCTGGATTCCATGTCTCCAGTGCCCCCTGGTGGCCCGGACGCGACATCCCCAGGGTTGAGGGGCACCGCTTGGAAGGGTCCCGCCCCGCCCCGCCCCGCCCCGCCCCCACTTCCTTTTCCAGGCCCCTTCCTGACTTTGTCCGAAGGGGTCCGTTGGTGGAAAGAGGTGAAACCTGCACTTAGGACCAGCACAAGCTGAGGCCATCAGAGGGGCTGCGGTGGTCAGACGGAGGGGAAGAGACCAGACGCAGCAACTGTTTGGCTTCTGAAAAAAACTAGAAAACCAAATGGGGGGCTGGGGGAGTGGGAAGCACAATCTGGAGGGAGGACGATCTAGTCAAACCCTGGCTGGGGTCTCCGCCGTCCCAGGGGTCACATAAGTGGTAAAGTCGAGAGAGTAGGGGGCACTGGACTGGCCAAGGGCAGGGACATCTTATCTACAAGAGGGAGGTGGGAGTGGGGCGAGGGCCCCGGAGCCGGCCCTGGCACCCCACGCCCCGCACAGAGGAAGGGGTTGCGGAAGAACAGGCCCAGAGGTGGGGGTGGGGGAGGAGTTGGAGGTGGGGGGTTCTAAGCCTCGACCCCTCCCTCCGGATCTCAAGAGCCCCTTCATTCCAGCCCACGCCCACCCCTCCCCACCCCCCCCCACCTACCGCCACCCCATCCCCACCTCACCCCGTTCTCCATCCTACCCCATTCCCCCATTCCCTTCCCCCATTCCAGGATTCCTCCCTCCCCCACCTCACTTCCATTCCATCCCATCTCCTACCCCCACTTCACCCATCCCCCCATCTCCTCCCCATCCCCCCAACCCTACCTTTCCCCCATCCCACCCCTGACCCACCCCATCCCCACTCTCACCACCCGGCCGTCCAGTGGGCATGGCCACAGACGCCACCCCTCCCCCTCTCCCGACTCCCTCCCCGCCTACTAAACGGAACCCCTTCTAGACTCCCTGGAAGACCCCACTCGCGATCCCAGGATCTCGTGAGATTTGCCCCAGGAGGAAACAGAAACCAGGATTGGTCGGGCCGCGTGGTTTCCGGGCGGGGCGCTGCTGAGTTCGTGGTTGTTTGTCCGCAGAGCGCAAGCGGGGGATCGTGTGGCGTGGCGCTGTGGCCCGAAGGGTAAGTTCCCG